ATTTAAGAATGTAGCTAAATAACTGAGGATTCAAACATGGCACAGAGCAAATTTTTTGGCTTTGAAAATACATTCTCTTATCTTTTGCATTTGCGATGAATCACTCCCAAAGTACAGATAACAATAACAATTGCAGCAATTGCAATCGCAGCAATGGCCCCGGGACCAATACCTAAAGAAGAATAAAAAAATTCATAGATGATAAAATATAACAAGATGGGAAATGTACTGAATTAACTGATGAGAACTTACCTGGAGGTTTGTTGACTGTGAAGTATTTAGTCACAGTACCCTGGGAGTTTGAGGCGGTGCAAGTATAGACCCCTGGAAACTCAAATGGTCCAGTCAAAATAGGATAATTCACATCCTGATCCTTGTACGTCTCTTGTGCTGCTTGTGGGAATTGCCAGTGGTATGATGGCAAAGGGTTTCCTGTTGCATTGCAACTTAAAATGTTTTTACCAGCTGGCAAGTCCTGAGTCTCATCTGAAGCGCTGATAGAGGTTGGTGGGTCTGAGGGCATATGTGAAATCAAATTGCACACAGAAAAACTTGAAAATGAAAATACAAAGAGAAATATTTTTTTGATTACATTAAGATCATTTTAAAAACTCACAGAGTACAGTCAGAATATGCGCCTCTGAACGCACTGGAGGAGGACCTTGTTCCTCTGGCCACAGGTTTAGTTTTGCTTCACACCAGATCTCAGCTCCATCATCATCTCTATGAGCAGTCAGAGTGAGGACAGATGACTTACTGACTTTAGATAGAATAGACTCATTAAATATCTGAGAAGACAAGATCTTATTTCCTTTGTGCCAAAGCACAGAGAGATTTCTTGCTGGTGCAACATTAACAATGTCACACTGTATGGCAAACTTGTGGCCTTCCACCACTGCACTTAAATTCTTCAGAGACACACTGTCTGGCATTTCTGAAATAAAATAAAAATCAAATGAATTAATTTTACCCAGTTATTAAGTACTAATGACTTACTTGAAAAGTGTGAGACAAAGTTAAGGCTACTCACTATAAACAGTGAC